TTAAATCTTTCAGAATTTTAACACCTGCAGTGCAACCAGGATTTATTTTGAAATTCTTGAAGCAATCCTGTTGCTCTTTTTAAAAATGCATTTAGGCAACATCTCTGAAGCCCATATGAATGCATATTCTTCTTAAAGAGGTCAGCATTTCAAAAGTACTGAAATCACCGGAATTTTCCCTAATGAAGAAGCTTCCTGAAATCTCCCTCAACATGAGCTTTGTTCTGTCTTAACAGCACTAAGCAAAGCAACCCTCTCTCTCTCATTCAACTTGAGATACATAGTTCTCCACGTACCAAACAGAAAACACCTTGTATACAAGGTCTCCTTCTCTCCTAGTAGCAGCACTTCAGCAAGAGTCAAGCGAAACTCAGACTTCAGCGAAGAGGTTTACTTTGCAGAAGATTTAGAGCTGCCAAAATGCAGCTATAACCCTTGCCATGTTTCGAGCGGGATCAGGCATCTCATGCTCAACTATATCCTTTGCCCAAAAGCCCAAGAGACTCAGTTCTGTGTGACTGAAGGGAACCTACTGTAGCGGATGGACTGACGCCTCACCGAGACCTTACGCAAACACAGGGTGCTTTTCTCCCTCCCTTTTCCTTCTGCGTTTCTCACATCCACTTCACACAGCAAAGGATGCAACGCTTCTTAGGAAACACTCATTTTTCCATTTCTTTTCCAGCAGATGTAACTGACAGGTATTATTACAGAACTGCACTCTTACTAAAATTATCAGAATCAATACCTAGATATAAGGCTGTTAAATCTGCAAATGTCAGAGATGAAAGCAGATCTTCTAACTCAGAAATCAGACCTCAGGCTGTCATTTCCAGCCTTCAGAACTAAGTGGCATTCTACTCTTTACCTAGACAATAAATTACTAGGACATGGACCAAATACCAATATTCCCTGTTTTCCTTCTCCTGTAAACTCCACCTGCCAATTTTCCTCTCTAATAGTAGTAATTAAAAAAAAAGTAATTTCTTTCTTAGCTTCCAGAAATCATCTTGTTTTTCTCATCAATACTTTGCTGCTGTAACAATAAGTCTCTATAATTGCACTGTAAAAACTCATTTCCTGAATTGCTGTGCGAAGGATAACATTATGAAAAGCAAGAAAAAAATGACTAAAGTATAGCTTACTGACCTGACCAAGTATTAAGTCTACTGTGATCTCTAAATTTTTGAAGCAGATTTGACAATATGATAAGCAGCAATTCCCACTGCAATTTGTAATCACCCGTAAAAAGTGTCTGACATGCCCCAAAATCAAAATGAAGATGACCATCTTGAATTTTCTTCTGGAAATACGATCACAGAAAGAGCTACCAACACTTCAATGGCTTTTATGCAGTTGGTGGTGTTTTTTTCCAACTGCATTACCACATGGGAACAGGGAGCTCCCACTGCAAGTTCCTCTTTAAACGCTGAAAAATTCCAAGTAATTTTCATTTATGTCTCAAATATACACACACACAAAAAAAAAGACTAAAATTTTAAAAAGGATAGTATCTGCTATCAGAGTAATATTACCCAGAAAATAGTAAAGGTGGTAAATACCATTAAAATTAAAGACCGAAAAGAGTTCTGAATAACTGTACAAGCTTGTCATAAACTTTATGTTGTGACTTTACATGTACGAACTTCTACCTTCTAAGGTACACAAAAAATTGTCTGTCCTTGCATTTTTTTTTCTTTTGAGCACAACTCTGGATTAACTAACTCTTCCCTGCCAGTAGAGAACACCTGAATGTGAGTTTGTAATGACAATACATCCGGAAAACACACTCAAATGAATATTCTGAGCACAGCATTAAGCAACTGAGCACCTGATAATTTTTTTACTTTGCAACTTACCGCAATAAGAAGATGACAGCAATATTTTAAAAGCAGGGCCAGAGTTTGGTAACGTGCCAGAAACCAACCAGAAAACCTCCAAACAAAAAACAAGTGCCATACAAAAATGGATTTCCAGGACTAAATCAGAAAAGAGCTGGTATCTTCCCTACCTTTCTCCCCTATTTTTTATTTTAAGTTCTTGTTATTTCCATGATGGGCTTTAGGATACAGGAAGGGAAAAAACCCCCCATAACCCCACTAACAAAGATATGCTGTAAGATAAATCAGGGGAAAAGTGTGATCGACATGAAGAGTAACAGTAGTAAACTAACTCAAAAAGTGACTGGAAGAGTTATCCAATCAGTGTTATTGTTAAGATATGATTATGCTACTTATATCTAGACACTTAAGAGGCAGTCAAAGAAGAAAAGGTGCATTTGAATAGAGACAGGCATATAAAAGAAGTCTTTTAACCAAAAGTAAGAGGGGCTGGCATAGCTAAATATGTTCACTTTATGAAAATACATGATATTTGAAATAGCTAAAGATAGATGTAAACAGCTGTAATTTATTATTAAATGGTAAAGATAGCAAAAAAAACACCCAACAGCACAGCTATTACTTTACCAGTATTGAGGTAATGTAGAGTGATTAAAAACTCCGTGAGGTAAGCTCTATGAGTGAGTTCAAGATCCCCAAAGCTCGGGACAAATAGCCAGATCTATGTATTCATGAACTCACACATGTATACCTTGCTTGAGAAAGAGGGCAAGTCCATGATTTCTAACCTCAGGATTCGGGAATGAGTTGGGAGGAGCTGTTTTACCTCCTGAACTCCTTTGCAGGATACTCCAGTCCTCCTTCAGACAAAAGCCTGATCAGCCATGACTTCTAAACTACCAGGCAGTTTATTGCCTCAATGGACTTCTCACCGGGGTGGGGGGTAAACTAACACATTCCTCTGACACAACTGCTTAAACTATAATGGGGGGTATGTGTGAAATACCAGTATTTTGTAATGCATGCCAAAAGCCTAAACAATAGCATAAGCATTAACACTTCCTAAAATACAGAAAGCATTTAATAAAATACATATTACAGTTCTGAAACAACCAATGAAGTATTACTTTGAAATAATGCATAAGAATCTTGCTACTTAGGTATATGTAACATCTATAGCGATACCCACTGAAGCTGGGTCTCTATGCTGTATATGTCAACATTTAAATAGTCAATGAAAAGATACAAACTTGCCTATGGTTTATGTATTTTATATCAGTAATCTGCATTGCACATATTTGGCTGCTTTTAACATCATGCAGTTTTCAAAGGCAAAAAGGAATACAATAGAGGCCATGCGTTTTCCAGATGCTACGCTGTTTTCAGATATATCAGCTCTGAACACTTGAAGGAAAAAAGAAAACAAAAACCTTTTTTCAGTTGCAGATATTACCCAAGTCCTTAATGCTGAAGGATGAAATGTTATGTCTAAACTGATACACATTCTTCAACTGGATATTAGATTTTTTACAGACATGCAATGTATTTGAAGCATGCTTTATGCCCAGACTTTTAGTCTTGGGTAAGAAACAAGGGTTATTGTTTCGGTGCATCAGGATGCCAAGTCCTGACTGTCTCGAGCTGTTGAGGAGAGAAAGAGACTGCAGGCTGATCATAGTCCTGAGGCACGGAAAAAGTACAATTCCAACATTTCTGTCCTATTTTTTCCTGTCTCAGCATTTATCTTCAACTACTGTCAATTTACAACATCTCAGCTCCTACCAAAAGTGCAGGCAAAGAATGAGGAAAAGAGAGAAGATAGCCCAGCACCTGTTTCTCTCCACCCGAGTTTCCAAACGTGTGGCGGAAGCCATTCTGTATGACATTTGAGATCCCTTCCATGCTGAAGCGCTAAAAGTAGTGAAAACATAGCAGAAAGAAAAAAAGGGACAGAGAAAAGTTCAGAAGACTATTAATCAGCATTTATCACGACTATAAGACAAATTACAAAGACAAGCTCTAAATGTGTTTCAGCACATTTCTATTTTTTCATTCACCTACTTAGTTTTTGTAATTAAAAAGCAAACCTTTTAATGGCAGGTAGAGCTGTATATCTACATAAAAATTTAATCAAAACCTTCACACTCCAGACCCAATAATCGAGCCTTGCCTTTTAAGGCTGTTTCATTTTGAAATGTACAAAATAGTATTTCTGAAAGTTCAGTTCACAGTACAAGCTCCTTTAAAATTCCTGGTGGAGCAACAGACTTTGAGAGACACTGCTCATACCAATTTTTCAGATTTTAACCACCTACTAGAAACAGTGTTCCGAGGTAGTCATTTTCAGCTCTACCTCTTTAAAACATTTTATGCTTTCATGTTTTCTTTTCCACAACTGAAGCAACAATTAGTATTCCTCATTTTTTTGGTAATATGATAAAATATACACAATTGGTTAATAATGCACCCATATTAATTTAAAGCTCCATTACATGGAATCATGGAACCCAAGTAAAGAAAAATACATAACCCAACCGTAATTTTTTTCTTGAACTTTGTAATCCTTTTTGCTTGCTAGAGAAGTAAAAAAAAAAAAAAAAAAAAAGAGACAATTTTGATGTTTAGCATGAGATATAAAAATCAGCAACCGACAAGAACATAAAAAGAAGAAACCGTCAAGCTGCTGACACAGGGTAGTATGATGCACACACCTCAGCATGCTTATCTGAATGTATTTATTTATGGGAGGGGGAATAAAATGTGCTGGAATACAGTATTCACTTGTTTCTAAAGCACAATGAGGTCAGTAAACAGACATAGACATTGCCAAAGCCATCTTAACTCTTTTAAGATATTCTATTTAAAGGAAGTGGTATCTTCAAAGCCCTGACTATTTTTAATTACTCCCCAGTTTGCCCTTGTGAGACAGGTGAAAGTTTTCGAAGTCTAAGAAACTGATTTACCCAAAAGACTGTATCAAGGACAAAGAATTAAAACCTCTATTTCTTAAAATTCAACTATAGTATCTACAGGAAGATTTATTTTCTTAGAGTAGGGAAATTTAACCCTACTTCCAACCTTCGTATTTTAATGAGACTTCATTATAGCTTTAGTTAATAAAATTACTAATTGATACATTATTTATTAACAGAAACTCACTCTTCACAAAGTTACTTGAACATACTATGTATATGCACATTCTCAGCACTTCCTTACAAAAAGGCGAAAAAAAGGAGTGCTTCCTTCAAAGCTTGCACCTCTTTCTGGGAGAAGGCTCTCAACTCTGTACGTGGTGGTGGTGAAAGCTGTTTTCAAAGGAAACACACATACCCGGCCTGCAGTCTCACTTGGGAGCTAGTTTGTTCAAGCCTCTCGGAAAGCAAGCAGACACATCTATGTCTTGAGGAAACCCAAACAGGAAAACGTTTTATATCGGGACCACGTACAGTTACACTCCCAAGCATCATGCAAGTCTCTCCACTTGAAGCTAACCAGAACAGCTTACAAATCACTTGACTCAAGTTTCAAACCAAGTAATTATTTTTCTTCCTAGTAAGAACACCATTGTTTGTTTTTCCACCACGTTTGAACTTTTTACTGTGCTCCTGCAAAGGGATGTCAATTTTGTGTTGTTTTCCAGACGTAGACTTTCTCAGAGTTCCAGCAAAACTTAGCTATGTACACAAACACTTTTCCTTACACAGACAAGATCAGAACTCCATGTGGGTTGTATCACAGGTATCTTATTCTTGTAAGTTTAGAAATAGATTCTGAAGAATTAATGTTTCATTACCAATGTTTATTCCTTATGTTTAAAAAACAAACCCAAAAACCTTTTAATGTCAAACTGAAACATTCTTTCTGGGACTTAGCCAATACATTTGCGACATTTTCCCCATCCTATAAAAGACACTACGGAGCTCTAACATTAATATCCCACTTAAGTAATTTAAGTTATACTAGACAGATAAGAAAAGAAAAAAAATAGCATTGACAAGATAATAACCTAATTTCTTTCATTCTCTGCCTTCTATTATTCAAACTGTTTGAAAGACATTTTTCCTTTTGTTGTTATATTCTGTAAAGAACAAAAGAAATTATCCCCTCCCTGTACACCTGCACTACGCTTTGGTCTCACCCCTGTCTCTCGTTGGATGTAGTAACTCTGCCACAGGTTTCAAGAGATACAGGGTAAGACTTTTACTTTTTTCCTACCTAAAAACCAACATGATCAATAAATATCTGTACAACTACACCAACGATAATACTGGATTTCCTTCAAGATTAACGGTGGTACACACATACTAAAATTCACCCAGTGAAATCAAACAAGACAAATGAGTTTGCCTACTGACAACAGAACACACAGTACATCCAAAGACAGGTTTTTTTCAAGAAAGGTATGCTGAGTCAAGACTAATTTGCAAATTAAAACATCTTTTTTGAGTATGAGAAGAATATATGACCTTCTGGGGGAAAAAAAATAAATCTCAACAGGAAGTGCCCAAGCCTTGTCTGCAAAAGGCGGCATGGAAGCAGGTGATATAACCTAGGACCACTATTTCCCATAGGGAAAAAAACCCAAAAAATATTTTAAATGCATCAATAGTTTCAAAAATGTTCTTACTGTTCCAGGCATATGACCTCTTTCTTGTTTGCCATTCTGAGGACTACCATTTTTCAGCTTCTTTTTCTTCTTTGCTGTTTCTTTGTGTTCTCTCTGTTTGTTTTGTACTTCGATGAGGACAGAAATGAAGCTGTTCTTCACTTCCTTTTCAAACTCCAACTCATCTCGTAGAGCCAACTGCTGTACCAGTTCCTCAGAATAATCCTTAATGGCAGTCTCAATTTCTTCCAGCAGTTCATTTAATTCAGCAACAGACAATCTTTTTACTCCTATAAACAGTTCATAAAAAAAGTAATCTGTCAAGATTTTTAGCATGAGAATACTTGTGGGAATTACAAGAAAACAGTTCTCTGAAATTTTTCAAAACAAAGATTTAAGATTCTAAAACCACATAGAATAAAACAATATTCCTAAAGGAATAAACACATCACAGAGGCAACTAGATTAGCAACAAGAAGATGGTTAAACTCTCTTCTTTCTGAGAAATCTGAGATCATCTGCAAATACGAAGAGCATGTTGTAGTTGAGGAAGCTGAAGTAAGTGCTAAACTTCTAACACTGACACTTCTGTTAACTATCACTTTCCACCTGCACACACTATTGAAAGTAAAAGGTCTCCATATTTTCTCACACAACAATCAACACTTTGGCATTACTGGAACCCTTGGATTTTTCACCCACAGTAATACAAAAACTACAGTCTATGACTGAGGGAATCTTCTGGGGGCTATTGCCAAGGTATGCATGCATGCTAATAAAAACTTGCGCCAAGCTTTTATGGTAGTATTTTTAGATGCATTGAGTAGAAAAAACAACAAAATTCTCCACTTTTCTTTGTCTGGGGATTGTAGTCAAAAGCATGGCCTTGTATTGCCTGAAATAAGGACTAGATCAAAATTAGCTGGCAGGCTTGTTTCAATCAAAAATAAGCATTAATAATTTTAAGAAAGTATGAGACCGAATTGGTCACAGCTAAATCAGAAGCCTGTAAAACGTCAGTTTGGGAAGAAAAAAACCTTCCAGGTTTGCATTTTAAAGGTACTATTGGGTCATGTGTTACACAGAGTGAAATTATGACCAAGAAGAATGTTCTGAGGCTTGCTTGCATTACAGGCGAGCATGTTCTTTGAGGACTGCTTTCCATTCCCAATGAAGTCTGACACACCTAGGAAGCCAGTAAGTCCCAGCAGCTGCTATGTCAAAGAACATCGTTTTCATTGGCATTTAAGAAATGGCTGGTCCTGGTTACATTGACGGGTACAATCTGTTTAAGGACACCGCATAGATGTTTGTAATTATCTGGTTACAATTGAATTAGACTAGTAAATGTCATGTCTAAAAAAAATTGCTATAAGGGAAAGTGCTTACAGACAAGTGTTGAAAAATACAAATAAGGCCAGAAACCACAAAAAAGTAGAGCTCTTAAAAGCATCAACGGTAATAGGTGAAATGTGATTTTTCTCTCTTAAATTACAGCAGGGAAAACTGACTGGAGAAAGCTCCTTGTCACTCACTCACTAAAAAAAAAAAGCAATGAAACCTGTTAAGGCAGTTCTCTGGCAAGGAGAGACAGTTTTTGGGAGCAGCTCAGGCCTTAAACTCTGTTCAAACACTGTAACAGTACCACATGCTTAAGGATCTAATTTTCAAGTAATTTGAACCATCCATCGCCCACATTGTTGTTTGAACTATTCGAAGTAGGTAGCATGCAGGTTATGGCCTCTACTTGTAACACTGACCTTGGCTGTGCTCACAGTCATTGCACACACCACAGCAGGTCTCACCACAGCAAGAACTTTCTGCAAAGTCAACTCTGGTTGTCAGCAATAGCAAATCGTAACATCAACTCAAACATAAGGAGGGGGGAGAAAGGTAAATTCAGTGACAAGATTGTCTGGTGCTCTGTGGGTGCAATTCGCAGAACAGGCCCTTACAGTCTGCAAAACTGAGTATATTCTGTGCTAAAAATTAGAGTAAGTTCCATATGCATTCAGTAGAAAGGACAGTCTAAAAAGCACAGGTTGCACCACTGCTTTGTTTTTGTGAAAGACGACTAGAGAGTGCACCAGTGAGTCTCAACACTTAAGAACCACCTTCACAGCCTAAGAAACTATTGTTCCAAACACAGGTGCAGATAACCCAGCTGCAATCCTGACTTGTTTGCGACAGATCAGTTGTCGTTATCAAAGCCTACAAAAGGGCTACACAGGAACTACTCCGCTGACGCAGATGAGCGAAGACAGAGTAATTCAAATGCAGAAGACTACTTGGATTAAATCTTAAAATACATACGCTAAAGGATTCACCTGTGTAACCAGAGCTGTAACTGGTTTTATTTTTGGACTGCCTTAATACATGTCTTTTCCTATCCAAGAAAAGAGTCAATACAGCTTTGATTTCCTGCTCTCAATCCTAAACATTAACACCTCTGACTTCACCTATAGAAGCCAGGCAGTTTCTAGGAAAACGCTGCAACAGTTTCAGAGATTCGGACTAATTCTGAAGCAGCTTCGCACACAAAAAAAAAAGTAGCAAGAGCTTTTCATAAAATAGCGACATGAAAGCAGATTCTGAAAAACTGGTGAAGCAAAGTTAAATTATCTGCCAAAGTAATTGAAGGAATTGTTCGGTCAAGGCTGACCTTTAAACCATAAAGATACAACAGACAAGATGAACTCTTGAGGCAAAGCAAAATATGGTATGAAATATCAAGCAAGCTTGATTAGCTCCAAACCTAAGGACATATGGAACTGTCAGAAAAGCAGGAAGACCTGCTAAGCAGGATACACTTTGCTTTCACATTCCTGAAATTTATGTGTTGAGACAGCTAAGAGTCCAACCATGAAAATGGGATCTCCTCCATAAATCTGAAGTGTAGCAGAAACCGTAACTCATGTCAGAAAAGGTCAGCCACTTTTCTGAATCTCCTACAGAATTTATATTACTGACCCAGACTACAGGAAAGAAAGCACCAAACTTTGTAAGAGGGACCAGCAAATATTCTTTGTGTTCCTATCACCTTCTAAAATCGATTTTGACAAATACACAGATGAAACAAATTTCCGTCATGAAACTGATTAATCACAGGTTTCTTTTACATACAATTCAACCTACCACAATTAAACTACACATGTAATTTCTCCTTTCGATTTGTATAGGGAAGAACAGATTATTTCATTTGAGTAAAAGAAGATACAAAGCTGTTTCTTTTTTTTTTTTTTTCCAACTTTTAAGTTTTTTGACGAGGAGTGGAAGGGGAGGACAGAAAAATATGCAAGGTCCTTATGGGGAAAAAAAAAGGAATAGTTGTCTTATTTTTGTGTTACTGTGTATCAAGATACATTGCGGTTACGGAAACAGTACCAAAACCCCATCTTTTTCTTTATTTACTGCATAGCTTTCAAGAACTTTAGCTAATCTTCTTAAATACAGTGTACTGGACTCAAGAAAGTGTCTCACTTCAAAATACAGAAATTAATAAAGTTTAATAAAAATGACTGACCTATCACTTTACCCTATGAAGGGACCTCATTCCAGTGAATCAAGCTTCAGCATATTTGCTTTAATTTGAAATTCTATAAAGTTTTATTTTTATTCTAAGTTATGAAAGCTGACAAAGGTAAATCTTCTACTTATGTTTTAAATCTAGTTTATTCTTCCAGAGCATTTTGAAAATATTTTTGAATGCAGATATTTCATAAGAAGGACTTGCTATAAATCAAACACATGGCAAACTTACCCTTTAAACTATTTTCAATAAGCATAAGAGCAAATTACTAAATAAATATCACTTACTCTCTTCATAGCTGTTGTTTGTACTGGATCTCTTGAGTGTCTGAATTTCCTGGGAAAGTATGGAGAGCCGATCTGACTGGGTGGGCGTTTCATCATCTTCCGGATCAGGTGATTCCTGCATCATTTCCTCTATTTCTTCAATCACCTTCAAAAAATGAAAACTCTTAGAAAACCCTCCTGCACAAAGAGAAACAGCCTGCAATTTGAAGCAAGGCAGTTAAGAGCTTAAGGTTTTTGTGTGGTGGGTGGTTTTGTGTGTGGTGTTTTTTGTTTTTTTTTTTTCTTTTTTTTTTTTTTCAAAATTTCAGTTAGCAAAGATGCTGATGGATGAAACTAATACCAAGACTGGATGGAAGAGAATCAACAAAATCATATTGACATTTCCTCTCCATCCTTACTCTCTGAGAATAAGCCTAGCTTTTCAAGATAAATTGGTGATCTCATAATAAGCAGTCCCTTGAAACTACACAGTTATTTCTATATGAAGGTACCTATGGTTCCGCTTAAGAGAACTGAACTAAGGAGTGAGCTGGAATATCTTTCCTAAGTATTCAGCTGAAACAACAAAAATCAATTATCTCCCCATCCCCCATTTCATCACACTTCTCTAAGCAAATAAAAAAGTGCTCTGAATAACCTGAGAATCTACTGCGTTTATGAGAAGTTTTATGAACTGATCCATCATAACCCAAGGCTGGTTTGCATTGGTGAGCGCAAGACCTGAGCCAGATAGAAAGCATGACAACAGAAATCCTGTGCATACAGAGCTTACTTTCCCGTATAGAAATGACCATATTTCTACAGGCTAAACTATTAACCAAATAGCTAAATAACACATCAACTTTTACAGGTTTAAAGGCTGTAGGCAGTGCTGGCATCCACCTCACAGTAAAAAAGAGCTGAGGCAGTTCAAGCAATCCTGTCCTTCGTACTCTTAATAACCATGTTTATCCGTTTGCAGGTAACCATTTAAACAACAAGAAAAATATACTCTTGTGTTTGCTTACTAAAGCAGGATCTTAATGGACAGTCATTAACCTTACTCAGAAGAGCAATTTTCAAGATAACTTAAGTAAATCCATAGATTTGGAACAGAAGCCTTTAGACACTAAGTAATTTGAAAGCTTAGCAGCAGAACTGCTGATCTGCTCTCATACCAGGCAAAAACTTCAAAGAATTCTCACTAACCACAAAGCCATGTGAAGCTAGGAATGGCCATACAGTCATGCTGGAAAACTACAAACTCTACAATACCACCAACGTGCTGCAAATATTTTTGCTTGCTAACACATATATTTAATTTAGTAGTATTTCTGACTAATTCATGGTAAGAAATGTATAAAGATTTTAAAGACCTTGGACTATCAACCTCACCTGAAGCACTGGAATACTTTTCAAATCTGACCAACATAGTAATATCTCACACATTATTATGACCCTAAATAAGGAACAATCAAGAAGCTTAGCTATGATGAACAGCAAGGAAAAACAAAAAATAATTGCAGCCTAAAAGCAAATACTACACCAACACCACTGTCTTTGCGGAACACTTTACCTGCTCCGCTGTGAAGAGTGGTTCATCATTGATGCAGGAAACAATGATAGAATGCATGTCCAACTGTTCTCTCAGCTCTTCGTCATCTGACAGATCAAGGTTCAAGTTATCATTTACCTAGAAAGCATGAAAATGTGGATTTATATAAATATTTATATATACATACATTTGTGTGCACATATATATATTAAAAAACACATGTGCATATATAAAAACCAAAAGAACTAATATTGAATTTTAAGAATGAAATAGATTCCTTGCCCATAATAATGGAATCAATGACTCTTGCTGTCAAATACCTGGAAACTGAAGTACCTTAACAACTGAAATCAAAACTGCAATTGGAGAAAGTTAAATTAGCTGTCAGTCTTTAAAGTCCTTAAATACCCTCAGCACACAAAAAAACCAAACACAATGACATGCAGATATCTTCACGGAAGGCAGTCAATCCAATGTAGATACTTAAATGAAGATAGACATCTGTTGGTGTGAGGTGAAAACCTATCTATAATCTCTAACGCTACACAAACCTGTTATTTTACATGCTTTTACAGTTCTACTTTTTCACATAATAAAAGATATGAAAAAAGTTGTTTTAAAAAACAGAACGTGGTTATCACCCCAGATTATTTTTAAAATATATTGCTGAACATCTCAACGTCTTTTTAAAAGGAAACAGAAGTAACACTGTTCCCACACATATACCATCAAATCACACTCATCCTTCAAAACCGAAGATGTACATATAGTAAAAGAAAAGATTCAAGTCCCCTCCTTGATCAGTCAGGCATATTTTACTCTCACACTGTGATATATTCTAGTTTGTTTACAAAGTTGTTTGCTTTTTCTGCACTTTGTCTATTACTAGATTCCAGCCAAACCAACCTAGAAAAGCCCCCAGCCCCCAAAAGCTCCAACCCACAACCTTTGACATTTTGAGCTCAATCACTTTAACTGATCTTTGGGCTAATTTACAAGCATTATGACTAGCTGTATAAAATCCTTGGTCTCACTGTATTGGTTGTCAATTTTTGTTGTAATTCCTCCAATTTTCCCTGTTTCTTCAAAACCCTTAATAGTTTTCAGATTCATTTTGAAGATACTACTGATATCCTCAGATAGCCAGTGGATAGGGGAAAACATACAATTTGTATTTCTTCCGCCATCAGAATGAAGTCAAATGTCCACTTTTTTCCAGAATCTGAATTCCGTGAACCATGGAGTGACAGGGCTCCACTAAGAATATCTGTTCACCTACTGCACAGATACATCCCGGTTTTGACATTCTTTAATGCCTCGAGTTCTCAAATGTTGTTCCATGTATATAGGATTACAACAACCAACTACGGGATAGTAAGCAAGGATAACAGTTTATCTAGAAGGAGGTCAGCTTCCCCTCCCGACATTTCCAGAAACAACATTTTGAGAGACTATCAGAATATTATGATAATTTAGGCTAATAAACTACCTAAACCAGCCCAAGCTACAGCTGATGCCAAAAGGACCACCTGGCCTTCCACTAGCCACACTCCGTGCCTGTTTCTGTCCTCATACTCCTACCAGGGAATGATCTGTCTAAAAGTAAGCTAACAAATATACAATAAAAAAGCAATTGTGCAATCCTGTTCCTTGTACCACTGTACAACACTTCCACCCAACTCCTTCCTTCACCTTCAGAGTTGTATAAAAGTGCTCACAGCTCTGTGATGCGAAGCAACAAAGATTAGATGAATCCGCCTCGTTCACCTTACGCTTTTTTCCTACTAAACCAGGAAGAGAACTACTTTAAGCACAAGTTCAACAGCATATTATTAGTTTCAAACGCATCAAGGAAATGTTGCTTAGCTGTTAGGATTCTTTGTAAGAAAGTTAAAACAAGCTACTAGCTGGTCCATATGTGCTGTCACATATCCAGAAATACTGCTGAAACATAGAGAAGCAGAAAAAAAAGTATGTCAAACGCTCCCAAACAGACGGGCTTTACACATCAAAAGGCATGCCAGGTGGAGAGAAAGCTGAAAAAAACTTGAGATATGTTTAATCCATAAACTGATTTTCCCTCTATTGGCAGCATACCCAAGATTCTTTCTAACCCAGCAACACCATTTCACATTTTTTTATGTAGTTCTTTCATAGCTTACTGCAAAGAACTTACAAAAACTATATGAAACATTTTTTTATATTGTACCTAGTTCCTTATCAAGAAATCCATCAGTCTTCCAGTCCATTTTTCAGTCACACAACAAGGTCACAGCATGGGGACTTGTAAGGCTTTTTACTTTAAATGTAAGGATTTAATTACTCTAAAACCACTTAGAAAATATGAACAAGCACTCTAATAAAAATTAGAATAAACACCAGTCAAATTCAAGGGATGATCATCAGAATCAAATCGAGAAAGTGAGTTCCAAATTGCCATCTTCCCCTGCT